GTAAGTTGCCCACATGATGCCCTTTTACTACTATATATTTCAGTGTGTAATTCCTAAAAACAAGGATATTGTCTTTCGTAATTACAATATAATGATCAAGATCAGGAAATTAAGATTGATATAATATTATCTAATTTCAGATTTTATCCAAATTCTACCAAGTCCTATCAATGTCCTTTAGATCAATAGACAATTTTTTTTTCCAGTCTGGGAACTGATCCAAGATCACACTGGACTTGTTGGATCATATGGTTATTCTGCTTAACATTTTGAAGGACTGCTAAACTGCTTTCCAAAGTGACTACATCATTTTACATTTCCAGCAGCAATGTATAGGGTTTCAATTTCTCCATATCCTCACTTAACAGTTGTAATTTTTCTTTTGTTTTTGAAAAAAGTTATGGCCAACCTAATAGATGTGAAAGAGTAATTATGGTTTTGATTTGCATTTCCCTAATGACTAATGACATTAAACATCTTTTCATGTGCTTACTGACCATTTTTATATCTTCTTTGGGGAAATATCTATTCAAGTCCTTTGCCCTCTTTTTAACTGAGCTTTTTTTTAATTGTAAGAACTCAGTTATATTCTGATACTATATTCTTATCAGATATATAATTTGCAGATACTTTCTCTCATTCTGTGTGTTGTGTTTTCACTCTCTTAATTGTGTCCTTTGATAAACAAGATCTTAAAATTTTGATAAAGTATAATTAACCTAATCATTTTTATACTTTTGGTATCAAATCTGAGAAACCATTGCCAAATCCAAGGTAGTGAAGATTTCTGCCTGTTTTCTTCTATAGGTCTTATAGTTTTAGCTGTTATAATTTTGGTCTTTGAACTGTTTTCAGTTAATTTTTATATATGGTGTGAGATAAGGGTCCAACTTTATTCTTTTGCATGTGAATAACCAGTTCTCCCAGCACTATTTATTGAAGAGACTGTTCTTGCCTCATTGAATAGTTTTGGCATTCTTGTTGAAAATCAATTGACCACAGATTTATGAGTTCATTTCTGGACTCTCATGTCCATTCTATTCAAATATATGTTTACTCTTATGTCAGTACCACACTGTTTTGATTACTGCAGCTTTGTATTAACTTTTGAAATCAGGAAGTGAGTCCATCAAACTTGTTTTTTTTTTTTTCAAGATTGTTTTGGCTATTCAAGGTGCTTTGCAATTACATATGAATTTTGGGATCAACTTTTTCACTCCTGCAAAAAGTGTTGGTATGTTGATTTTGATAAGGATTGTGTTGAATCTGTAGATTACTTTGGGACGTATTGCTGTCTTTATAATATTATGTAAAGATGAACATGGAATGTCTTTTCATTTATTAAGTCTTCTTTAATTTCTTTCAGTAGTGTTTTGTACTTTTCAGTGTATAAGCCCTGCATCTCCTTGGTTAAATTGATTCCTAAGTATTTTTTTCTTTTTGATGCTATTTCAAATAGGGTTTTTTTTCCTTAATTTCCTTTTCAGATTGCTCATTGCCAATGTGTAGAAATACAACCGATCCTGTATCCTGATCTTTGCTTATTTATTAGCTCTATTTGTTTTTTTGTAGCTATTTTAGATATAATCATGTGCCTGTTGCTTTTATTATAGAAGGGTATTTAGAAATCAAAATCTGGGTGTTAAATGTATTTATAGCTACTGTGATATAATTGCTTTTAGGACCTCTTAGCAGACAGTGCTGGAAAGTACATACATACATGCATATCAATATATATAATTCAATTTCTATCTAGTTCTATGTATTAAAAATCATGAGTTCTTACTGATACCTCCAATTTCCACCCTATTAGTGATCCTGGACCTGGGACTGTACATGTTTCAAGCAGCAGCCTGCAGTGTCAGAAAAGCCCCAGGATGGAAAGCCAGGGTATACTGTGGTCAGTTCTGTGACTAGGGTAAGAAATGATGTAGAGAGGATTTTGAATTGGTATACAAGATATATTCAACATATTTAGTTTCTGTAGTAACTTTTTCTCTTTGTTTTCCTCCTACTTCTCTGGACACTCTTTTCTCAGACTTCATTAACTAAGTGATCCTTTGGGTTTTGTACCAAGCCCCCTCTTTGCCCTCTTAGTACATTTTCTAGACTAGCTCATTGACTTTCATGTCTTTGAGTACCCCTTGGGCAATAGCTTCCGTCCATGTCTTCTGTGCTTCAGATCAACCTATTCAATTGCATACTGAACAGTTTCACTTATATGTTCTCCCAGTGCTGATGTGTCAAAGTTAAAATGTCCTAAACTTGTTCATTATGGCCTATTTTACCCTCTTGCAATAGAGTTCTCTTCCTTATGCTCAATGGTTCCTAGTTACCCAAACCAGAAACAGGCGTTTTCATGGATTTCTCCCTCTCCCTCACCACCGACAATCACATCTTCTTGATTTACTCTCCTAAATATCTCAAATCTGTTTATTCATCTTCATCCTCATGGCCATGGTCTTAAATCAGATTACTGTTATTCCTTACTTGGATTTCAGCATGCTAATTGGTCTCTGAAACCCATTCTTAACCTCAATAGCCATTTAGAAAATGAGTTATCAGTTCTAGTCCTGCCTGTGCCACTTTCAGCTGTATGATCGTGGTCAGGTTACTTCACTGCTTTACGGCTCAGTTTTCTTATCTGTAATACACAGACAGGAATAGTACTTATTTCAGAGGGCAATTGTGAGAAGTATATGAGGGGACACATGCAAACTTCTTAGCATATTTGCTAATTCATAGTAAATGGTCAATAAATTATATAATCATTCCAGGGTTCTTCAAAATCTAGCCTCTGCTATTCCTCCGATCTCTTCTGATTGATTCCTTCTACTCAGTTTTTCAGCTTCTTTCAGTTGCTCTAATATCTGATGCTCTCTTTTGGCTCCAGGTCTCTCCTCTGCTCTCTTTTCTTTCTTTTTTTTTTTAAAGATTTTATTTATTTATTTGACAGAGAGCGAGAGAGGGAACACAAGCAGGGGGAGTGGGAGAGGGAGAAGCAGGCTTCCCGCCGAGTAGGGAGCCCGATGTGGGGCTCAATGTGGGGCTCGATCCCAGGACCCTGGGATCATGACCTGAGCCAAAGGCAGACCGCTTAAGGACTGAGCCACCCAGGCGCCCCATGCTCTCTTTTCTTAGAATTCTCTTCTCCCTCATTCTCCTACCTTATTCATCCTTCTTAGTTTATACATCACTCTCTCTGGGAAGTCTTGACTTGGTGTCACTTATTTGTGTTCCAATAATACTCTTACTTCCCTTATTGAGGATCTTATCTCACCACATTGGAATTAACTGCTTACTTGTTGGCCTGTCAAGCTACTGAGGGTAGGGACCAATTTACCTTGTTCACTATTCCATCTCTAGTACATAAATTGGACTAATTCAATGAATGAAAGGATAATGAATGAATGGGCCACGTTACCATTGTCTGTTTTTTGATCTGCTTGGTAAGCTCCTGGCTACAGCCCTGCTTGGCTGCAGGAGTGGGGTAGATTGAAGGGGAAGACTCTCCTAGTGTCTTATCAGCCATTAGCATTTGCTGCATTGTTGGCCCCCAATTATTAGCTGGTCAGTAACTCCTAGGACTGTTCCTTTACACATGAGCATGGGGCTACTTTTCCTGTCAGCCTCCACCAACAACAGTCTGATGGCCTGTCTCAGCTGAGGAACATCCCTTGACACTATCACCCTGATGAAATCTGTTATCTCTAACTCTGAGATTATTCTGTTATATTTCCCTATAAACATTAGATTGGATGCATATTCAACATTTCGCAATTTCATATGGTTTATCCTATATGCGATTTTGTAAATTGGACACATTTGAGAAGCTAATTGTATTGTAGTGTAAACTGTGAGTAGCTGCAGACTGGAAGTATGATGGGGTTGGGACAGCTGGAATTTGTGGTGGAAGTAGACACAGATCAGTGAGATGGAACAGATTAGGTAAGAGAAGCTGGATTAGGGTTTTCAATAATTTTTGCTCTGCTTAGATGTGAAATTATTTGGTTCAGACGTGCTTCGCCTGGGAGCCCGCAGAAGCAAGCCCAAAGGCCACTGTCCATACCCCGAGGACACTGGAGGAGAAATTTGGCTGCCTCTGAGCGGTAACCTGGTGGCCTGAACCACTTTCACAGCTGCAGATCCAAGCTGGCGCATACGTGCCGGTCCGCGCTGAGAGAAGGAAGCCGCTGGGGGGCAGCAAAGGCTCGCAGGTTTCTCCTTACAGCGGCTATTCTTTATATTGTGCCGCATTTTGCATTTTGCTTTTTTTTTTTTTTTAACGAATTGCTCTCTTTTAGAAACTTAATTTTCGAATCCGAACTGCATTGTATGAGCAGGGACCCCGTTCGTCATTTCCTCTCAGAAATACATTTTTTCCTGCCAGAATTTTACTTTTTCTCCCTCCTGTCATTTCCAAGAATACCAGAGCTTTCCCTTGCCCCAGGAAGGCCAGGCCCAGGCGGATCCGAGTGAGGAGCTGGCGCGGTTCCGGCCCCTAGGGAGCTGGACCAGGGAGTACCTGCAGCAGGAGCATACTGGGCCTCAGGAACCCTGGGTGGGGCCGACTTTGCAGCTGCTCAGCACCCTGGCTACTACAGTGGAGACACCGATCTGATGCCCTGAAAAATACCTATAGAACCTGGCTTTTGGGGGAGAAGATTTGGCGAGAGTCACCAAACCACACCTCGCAGCTCTTGGATCCTGGAGAAGTTTGTAAATGTCACGTCTGTGTCTCAAGACGAAAACAACTCACTAAGGTTTCACACTTTCCAGGAAAGGCCAGCGGACACCTGATACAGGCCAAATGAAGCGTGCGGGAGCCTTTTCGTGGCTCACAAGAGGACCCCGCGGCAGGTGCGGCGAGACTGGGAGCGGCGCGCGAGGAGGCGCCCACAAAGCGCCCTCGCGGAGTCGGGCGGGGGTGCTCCCTGAGGTGACAGGAGGAAGCGGGAGGTGGAGGGTAGAGAGGAGGTCCCGCCCCCACCTCGCTCTCCTTTACGGGAAGTGATGTGGGGCCAGACGGAAAATACCCGCCAAGGACCCAAAAAGGGCCGGCAACGGGTGGACGCGGCGCGCACGCAGGCAGAGCGGCGCGGGCCCAGCGAGGTCCAGCCAGGTGAGCCCGGCAGCTGCGGGAGGTGTGGGCGGCGCCGCCCGACCCCCAGCGCCCGGGGTTCCGCTTCAACCGGACAGTCGAGCACCCTAGCGGGCGAGTGGCAGGACTGACCCTGGGGTTAGGCGATGTCGCCTGCGATTCCTCGCCCAGCTTCTGCGCGTCTGAGCCCGCCGGAAAAGTTGCTTTGCCTCTCCCAGGCCCTCAGCACAGACCCTACGGGGACAGGCGCGGGGGGTCGGGGGGCAGGCATGGGCGTGGTGCTGGTTTGTTGGGGTCCAAGGGTTGGGACCGGGCTGAGGTCACCTCCGGGGGGGCATCCAGGTGCTTGGGTTCCCGTCGGGGGTGGGGGGTGGGGTGGAGAAAGAAACTTCACTGGCAGGAGAGGAGGAAGGTTCCAGACCTCCTGCACTGCCGCATAATTCTTTTCTCCCTCCTGCTGTTTTCAGTTTATTTAACGTCTTTACACCCTTGTTGATAGGGGTCTGGACAGCAAACTGGCTGGGAGGGAGAGGGTTCTTCCTTATCCTGTCAGTTAGACAGGAAGCCCAACCTGGCAACGAGGCCCCTGGATCTTTACTGGTGGTAGGGCTGATGTGGAGACAGGTTTGGTAACTATTGCCAAATCCTTGTCTTTGTCCCAGTAGATCACCAGTTAAGCAAAGTCAGGCCTGAAATGAAGGAAATCTTGTGAGCCCTTGACTCCATCTTCCCAGCCTTTTGGCTCCTGCTGTCCACCTAGGCCACATGGCTCCAGAATGTTCTGCCACAGGGTCCTCTTCTTTAACTCTGTGGGCTAACAGCTGTTTTTCCTTACTCCATGGATTCTGGCTTTATGGTTGGCTCTTCACTCAGATGTTGGGAGGGGGGAGTAGTGTTACGCCCTATGAGTTTTCTGTAATTATTGCTAATTTAATTTATTGCTGGTCGTTGTTCCTATCCCCCCCCTTTTTTTTTTGCCTTCTTAAAAACTTGATTTAGGGGCAAAACAATCTGGAAAACAGGTTCTACAGATGGTTAGAGATAAGAAAGGTTAATAAAATACTGAAAGAACCTGACTGAAGATCATTTTCCCCCCTGTATTTTACGTTGGTTTTCATTCCTACTTTCTTCTTTCTTTTTATTTAAATCATGTATTTATTTTATTTTCATGCCTGAAGCCAACTCATTTAGCTGTCTCAGCCTTTCTGCCTTCCTGCCTTTCTTCCTTCTTTTCCTCCTTTCTTCTTTCTTTCTTTCTCTCTCTTTCTCCCTGAACTTGTGAGGATTTATTTCTAGACCCTTAATTCTACTCCATTAATCTATTTGTCTATCCTTATGCTAGTATCATAGTCTTTATTATTGTAGTTATGTAGTAGGATTTGAGCATGGGAAGTGTGAGTCCTCCCATTTTGCTCTTCTTTTTTTGAAATTGTTCTGGCTATTTTGGGTCTCTTGAATTTTCATATGAAATTTAAGATCAGTTTCTCAATTTCTTTTGCTTTGGCTTTAGAGCAGATGTAAGGGTTTTGAAGTAGGCATTAATCTCTAGGAACCAGACTCTTGATTTCTCCCTTCCAAATCTGCTTTTCACTTAGTCTTTTACATCTCAGTTAATAGCAATTTTACTCTTTAGATTCTCAGACTAAACACTCTGGAGTGACCCCTGATTCTTTTCTTTTTCTTATTCCCACATCTAATTCTTTAGCAAATCTCATTGGTTCTACTATGAGAAAATATAATAAATATAGGATAAAAACCATCTCTCACCATTTCCACTGCTTCTGCCAAGATCCTGTCATTTCTATCACAGCAGAAATTACTGCAAATGCCCCCTACAGGGCCATCCTGCTTCTACCCTCACCACTCTACAGTCTGTTGTCCACACAGCAGCCAGAGGTCATTATGCCACTCACCTCTCTGTTCACAACCTCCGGTAGCTTTTTATCTCAGAAGAAAAGCAAAGTCCTCACTGTGGCTTATAAGCCCCTTATGTGGTGTATGGCTTCGTCTTACATTGTTCTCCCCTTGCCTACTCCATTTCACCCACACCCTAAGACCTTTGCATTTGCTCTTTCCTCTGCATGGCTTTCTCACTCATTTCATCCAAGTCAAAAGTCACTTTAGAGAGGCTTTCTTGAACCATCCCATCTAAAATAGCATCCCTCACCCCACCCATCATTTTTTGCCCCCTAACCTTGTCTTATTTTTCTTTTCTTTAGAGTATCTATAGCAGTAACTGTTACATACACACACTGTCTCTCACACACACACTCTCTCTCTCTCTCTCTCACACACACACACACACACACACACACACACACACACACTATTGTCTCCCACTGGTAGAATAGCCTTCATGAAGGTCGGGAATTTGTCTTATTCACTATAGTGTGCATAGTGCCTAGAATGGTTTCTGGCAAGTAGTAAGCTCTAAAAAATATGTGTTGAAAGAATGCAAAGGGAGGGACTGAGAAATGAGGATCATTCTACTGTTGCTTTTTCTCTGTTCCTTCACACTTCTAAGAGAAGCAGTGTCTGTAGTTACATTTCCTATGTCTGTCCTGTTCTATCCTCTTATGCCCCCAAGACAATGGTTTTAGTCTCCTTGGAAAGGGAAAGGCTTTGCGTTCTTCCCACAATGGCAGTGGGGGGCCCTTTCCACTGTGGCCTGGGCAGACTGCATGCAGGCATGTGGCTCCTGCCTCCGGTGACACCCCTTCTTGTGCTGAATTCAAATTCAAGAAAATGGAAATTCCTTTCTTGATGAATATTTTGCACTACAGTGAATTAATCTTTCTCTGGCTTCTAACTGAAGTTTCACTCCCGACACACATTTTGGCATTTAATTACATAGCTACTTTAGACTGTCAACTGTTTATGTATATGTTGTCTTCTGTGTCTTATGGCTAGATTGTAATATCCTGGAGACAGAGCATGACTTTAGCTCACTTTCTGAGTCTTATGGTGCAAGGTATCTTGGATAAAAGGAATGTTCGATATAATGTACCAATAAGTTATGGAATGTACCAATAAGTTAATGAATAAACCTGGATTTATTTTTATCATTGGAAACTTCTAGTCCATACCTTTCATTTTTCCTAACCAACAGCTGTAAATATCTTGTTTTAGTCCACCTTATTCTGCTGCTTCTGATAGAGCAGTATTGGCTACAGTCGAGTAGGATTTCCTGCTGCCCTTTCTCAGCAAGAATTGAATTAATCAGCCTAGAAAGTATGGTTATTGATCTTATAAGTTATTTAAAAATTGAACCTACCTTCCATTATTATTTAAACTTATCTTGGAATGTGCCCTATCTGAATCTTCACTGCAAAATATGGAAACGGATTATTTTTACATATCTAGGGGATATATACAAATATATATTTTCCCCAATGAATTATACATTTGAAACCTCCTGAAAAACAAAACAGAGCTTGCATATTTAAAGTCTGAGCCCCTAACTAACTAGATGGGAGGAATCCTTTCATAATGCAAATGTCCTTCAAATTATCACGAAGTATACTTTCAATACCTTGCAATTTTATATGTCAATTATACCTCAATAAAACTAAAATTAAGAAAAAATAGTGTGAGCCCAAAGAAGCAAGATTGTGTTGCCATTATCAAAACAGGGGTGCCTTCCGAAGAGAGTAATTTTTCCCTTTCACAGCTTTTGCTTTTTATGTCTTGTGCAGTTTTTGCTAGAACCACATTTATTCCCCCATTTCTTGGTCAGGAAGTTTAAGTTTATGATCTGGTTTCCCTTAAGCTGATTACCTTGGGAGCAGACATGAGCCTCCCCTGAGTTGGAGGAAGAGATAAAGGGTTTGTAATTAATGTTATGTCCGGAGGGTGAGATGGGGAGCAGGGAGCATCCAGCTCATTTGGCCTTCTGTCTGCTCAGGCAGCAGGGAGGGCACACCACATTCTTTGTTTTGTATGAGTGAGGTCTACTAACACTCACATTTTATTTACTGTTAACTAAAATTTGATGCCTTGCTTACTCAAGAGGAAGGTTGACAGTTATTTTTCCATTTGTTTGTTTGTTTATTGCCTCTGCATATGTTACTCTTGAGAAGGCCTTCCTTTTAGTGCCCCAGCCACTGTAGAACTACCCACATGTGTGGAATCAGACTTCTGATTCTTAAAATCGAACTTGTAATGTGAGGTTGGAGATAGGTGCTAGATTTAGCAAGTGAAAAAAAAAAGAAATTTGCACTTTGGATAAACAATGAATAACTTCTTACTAGAAGTATGTTCCATAAATACTTATACTAGGAAACTATTTGTTGTTTATATGAAATGCAAGTGTAACTAGGTATCTTGTATTTAATCTGGCAACTCTGGTCTGGTAAACCCATTTATGAATGGGAAGTGAATTGACCATGATAATGTCCAAAGAATGACTGAGCTATGGCTTATTTTGGTGACTGCACATGTGTCTATCTTAAGGACAGAGAGGGGGCGCCTGGCTGGCTCAGTCTGTGGAGCATACGATTGGTGATCTTGGGGTTGTAGGTTTGAGCCCCACATTGGGTATAGTTAGGAAATTCACATCCAGAGACTTTAAGTCACTTTGTCAGATCATAGAGTTAGTGGCAGAGTCAGGACTGGAACTCCAGGCACAGTGGTTGGTCTGTGCATAATGTCCTCCTATAAGATTATGTTGACCCCTAATCACTTTTTAAAAAAAAATTCCAGTATAGTTAACGTATATAGTTTCAGGTGTACAAGATAGTGATTCAGCAATTCCCACCCTAAATCGCTTCTGTTGTCACCATCCTATGATCACTCCCTTATCACACTCTCCTTCCAGTCCCCAGATCCAGCGGCAGGCAAAGCCACTCTCATGACACACCCTTGACTTTTCTCAGAGAGCCTCATGACTGTCAAAAGCCACCATTTGGTTGTATTCCCTGTGACGATGCCAGAAAGCCTGCTATTCAATGTGTTTTTATTCCTTTTGAGGTCTTGTTAATATTTCTGTTCCTTTTAGGTATTTATTATAAGATGCTTTGATT